GGAAGCATTGAAACGAAAGGTTTTGTCATTAAGGTATAACGACCAATGAATGTAATGTTGATCTTTTTGAAAAATGATATGAAAGTCAAGTTATTTGTGATGACTAATCAATGATACTATTCATCGATAAAGTTGGCTTATTCATTGTGAATAACGAATAAGTATCAAACCACAATTAGCCTTTGATAGACTAATCACAATCACATACGCTTTTTTGGTATGATTTATTTGGTCCAAGTTGAAATACAAATTACGTGAATTTCTACATTCATGTATATCATCGATTACTTAAAACATCGGTAATATTTTTTTCAAAATTATCATTCCAACCGAAGTTGTATAAGAGTTTCGGATGCTATTGTTTTCGGGAATTTTAAGCGCGTTTTTGAAGATTCTTTCAATTTACTTTTTAAAAAGGTAAAATAGCACGATCAACGATTGCTCAATAAATACCAACGAAATCTAGAATGAAGATAAGAATACGTCGACGAAAAGATAAGAATTATAAGTAGAGACATCAACGTAAAAATAATGTTATAAGAAATGGTAAATCTCCGTTATTATATCATGTACTTGATATAAATCACAAATACAAATTACTGTTGTTAATTATTGTGATTAAGGAGAGAAATTAACGTTTAAGGATGAATATACCACTCGGAAATTTGTCATTAATTTATCAATAACTAATGGTTTTAACGTTTTATGATTCATTTTTTTAAGTATAAACTTAATTCAGAACATATTACAAATTGAACTTATCAACCATTATTTGCTTTTCATTGATCGTTACTTTTTACCGACTGATTATTTCAACATGAAATTTTTCCATGTATTATGTCAGTGATGAGCAAAATTTGATTTCATAAAATACTACATATTCATCGGAATGAAAAAAAAAACCAAAAAACTAAATAATTTAATAAAAGGGTATCGTAGTATTCGGCCTCTTAGGAGATCAAGAGTTCAAACCTCACCAAAGATGAAGAAGATATATGAGTTTATTTATTGTATTTATCGTATATAAATATTATATACTTAAAAAATAACAATATTATTTCATAAATGGACCAAAACAACAACACAATTAGAAAACTTTTTGTTATTTATTTATTATTCAAAATATAACAAATATTCCATAAAGAATAAGAGCCAAAATTCTTTTACACTAAAGGTACATACAATACAAAGTATAAAGAATACAATGTGACATAATTCACCATGGTATGATGTTGGACTTTTGAGTCACCAACCATTTATTTTATATCGTTAAACATGTAATTAATAATCAATTATCAAAACATATCAATTGTATTTTTATATGTCGAACGAGCGAATTATAGGCCCGAAGTGAACGGTACGTTGGTTGACGGCAACCATGATCCACCGGCGATGAAGTTTCCAACGGTGAACCTTGCTGCCTCAGTGCTGCTAGTGATCACACGGTAACCCTTCCATTTAACCCTGTTGGCGGTTGATGAACCCGGGCCTGTGTTCAGATATTCTCCGTAGTACAAAGTATCAAGCGCAAAATTACCACTCCATGGCATCCAGCCTGCAGGGTCGATTATGCTATCTAGGTTTGATTTCATGAACACGGTTCTCGAATACTGCTTCCATGGCCTACCAAGATACGTCTTAACGCCCCCGACCCCTTTAAGGTCTGACGCGGCCGTGACACGACAATTATGGATCGAGATTCCCGTGTTCTGATTCGGGTCGGTCCGGCCTTGTGCGGTCACAGTGTTGGTCCTGTTGGGAGGCTTACGGGCGTAAATGTTGCAATTCTGAAGCACGACGGCAGCATTGCCAAAAATGAAGTCAACGGTGCCGTATATGTCACATTCTCTATAGAACTGTCTATCAGAGTGGACGTAAAGCGTGTCTTGGTAACCTTCAAAGCTGCACTGGTAGAACACTGAGAGATCAGAGCCGCTTCGCAACGCCACCGCCTGATGGTTTTGTGGGCCCGCCGTGTTTCGAAAAGTGATGCCACGACCAATGAATCCGTCTCCCACCACAGCTAATTAACATGAAACAAAATTTTACGATAAATATCGACATCGGTGTGTAAACGTTACATAGTTTATATTTATAACTACGTCAATATCTTATATTATTTGCGTCAATCGTTTTCATTGTGACAAACTAAACCTTTGAATAGAAAGCATGATAAAAGTCAAACTGAATTTTAGTAGATAACTTGTACAAAAAGAGGTCAAACACTACAACAAAATTGAGTTTATAGGACACCTCCAAATTATAAGCGTCCCAATAGATTGCTTTATAAGACTTAATTTATAGGACCAAAATATAAAACGTCATATCTAAAAGTGTAATAAATTTATATGATACTTTTAGGCGTCTTAACAAGTTTTTTATAACATTCTTAATACAAAGTCTCGTATTAACAATTTTATAGGACACTTTTGAGAAAGCGCCTTATAAACTCATTTTTTTATAGGACAATTTTTCAAATAATGTCGTATAAAGTTGTTAATAGTACGCTTTATATTAGAAGTAGGGGTGCTCAAAAACCCGACTAACCCGATCAACCCAACCCAAACCAACATGAAATAACCTAACCCGAAGCAACCCAATGTCTAATCGAGTTGTAAAATTGTCAAACCGTAAGTATTGAGTTACAATTATTTGAACCCAATCCAACCCGATGAACCCGATATCCTTTTATTTCTTAGATTTAATTTGATTGTTGAAATTCTATTAATATATACATTAGACAATTATACTATCATATATGCTTTTTATATATACATATTTTTAATCTATTCACATCTTTATATAACTCCTTCGTATATATGTTTAGTAACTGTAAACATATATATGTAAATTGAGAAAATTAACTGAATGTGATATATATAAGAAACATGGATAAGTTGTTTCAAATGGTTGATGATGAAAAAAAAATTATAAGTAAAGAAATAACACATTCAATGTTAGAAGAATGTTTTAATGTACCAAAGTATCAACCCGACCAAACCATACGGGTTGGGTTGGATTGCACTTTGATTTGGATTGGATTGGGTTAAGATTTTTTTAAACCGTAAACATTAGATTAGATTGTTAAAATATATTCAACCCTGTCAACCCAACATTACCGCACCTAATTAAAAGTAAACATTAATTGTGCTTACCAACGGTGGCTGATTTAAAGGTGGTGGCACCTCCTCCAACACTTTTGCTTCCGGTGATGATAGTTTTTCCGATACCATCTCCAACCAGCATTATATTCTTCAATTTGGTCCCAATTTCGATATTCTCGTTGTAAGATCCTGCCTTCACATATATCACATACCTTCCGCTGCCGGACCTTTTTCCGGCGGCGGCAACCGCTTCTCCCACCGTCTTATAGTTCCCGGAACCATCTTGAGCCACCACAACGTTCGCCTGAGAACCTGGACTCGAAGATTGTAACAGCTTCCGATCACCGGGTTTCACCCAACTAGGGAACCCATTCGGGTAAGTCTCCGGCGGAGATCCGCCTTTGTTCATCGCCAACGTGTTGCTGATCAAAGCCGACACATTATTCTTCATTAGCGGCAACAAGTAGCCGCCAACGCCGAGCTCCTCGAACCCAGCCCGACACGTCTCGAGATTAGTGAGGGCTGTGCTGAGCCACGTTTGCATCTCGTATTGGCTACACTTTTTACGAGGATCGACCGTCATGTTGAGCCGCTCGACCGTGTTGTCGTAAAGCTCGATGCAATCTTCCCATGCAGCTTTTTCGAGCTTGTTTCGGCATTTCGTGCCGAGCCCTTTAGTATTCGACTCGGCATGTTTGGCTCGATCGAGGGTGATCTTTAGTAACGCTTTTATGAAGTCTGGTTTTTGGGTCACCGGACCGGAATTTTGATTTCCTGCGACCAAGAAATACTCACAAGATTCTGGATGTGGTGTTTGGCTGCACCATGAACTGATCTCCGATTTGGTGTAACCATAAACACCAGAAGAAAGGAAACAAGAAATTAGGGTTGCTAAAAATGGAAAGATGATGATCTTCATAGTTTGCAGGTTTGAGTTGAGATGGTCTTTATGGTTCTTAATTGGGATTCTAATGGAGGGTTTATATAGCAATCGAATCGAACACTATTCATATATGAATCAGCTGATTTGGTCCAAAACGAGCTGTGCCAAGTTTCCTACTTTTCTACAAAAGCTAACGAGTCAGTAATTATATATATTTTTGTAATTATTTAAAAATTAATTATATATTTTAAAATTATTTTTGTATAATTATATATGGAGAGAAAGAAAGAGGTGGTTTCATTTACAAACCTAATCATTAATATAATTTGTATAAATTAATTTCAATCGTTCATTTAATTTAATGGATATTGAGTTTAATGAATATTTCGATTGTTTCATAATATAAAATATCGATAATAATGAATAAATTCTGATTTTTTTCCATAAATATCAAAACAGTATATAAAACTTTATAATTTTTATAAATATTTTAATTAATTGGTCTTTAATTGAATTCATAAATAAAACCAATTATGTATATATTATATTATATTATTTGTAAAGAAAAATGATGCAATAAAATAGACACTTGACTTCTGGCTACAAAACAATATTTATACCAATGACAAAAATAATAATCAATTATCGTTAATCAACGTTTATTTGGGTAAGTGTTTATCAAGTCATTTAATCTTATCGGATAAATATGATAAAGATAAAGAATCTTATCCGGTAAGAACGAGACAAGGACCAATTTTATATAATGTTATAGTTCATCTTAGTTTTTCTTAAACATGGCTTTCAGATAGAGTATTCATTATACCATTATACGAATTAAGCATCTCTAACAACTATGCTAAAATAGAGGTTTTTGTGGTTTTAGAAAATTATTGGCTCCAACAGGTATACTATTAAGTATACTTTATTAATGTGTTGAGTATTTTAATAATACAGTTAATGTTATAATTCTAAAACATAAGTAACAGTTAGAGTTTAATGTAAATTTTTAAAAATACATTTTGACTTTAGATTCTTTATTTCGAAAAAAAATATACTTTAAGCGTTAATCATAATGAATGAACATTGATCATCATAAATATTCATATCATAATAAATAAGCACTAATCATTTACATAAATTAATAAATATTTTAATTAATCGATTTGTATTTTTTGTATTAATTAAAGAGGTTGTAAAACAATTTACCCTTCTTTCTCTAGTCTCTATGTGTGTGGGTATATATAGATGGAGGTTGAAACAAAAAGAGTACCTCCATTTTACGAAAACATCAAAATATACTTATCACATGTGATAATACACGTGAAGAAACATGGTGGTGTGAGGACGACGTGTCATGTGCGACCTAGGTCGCATTAAAGGTCGTATGTGTCTCTAATATAGTATCTTATATATGTGATTATATTATCACATCAAGAACACCCTTATCACATGTGATAATACACGTAAGGGGAGCTTAGTGGTATACGAGCGACTTGGCCCACAACCTAGGTCGCGTCAAAGGTCTTCCGTGTCTAATCTATGAATAAGTATCACATGTGTATCATGTATGATGGAATATATAGTAAAAGGGTATATATATATATATATATATATATATATATGTATGTATGTATATATATATATATATATATATATATGTATATGTATAATTTGATAAGCACTTTCATGAAGGTGTGTGTTTTATTTGTGAGTTATGAATATTTGCAGGAATAAAGCATATTTGATGCATGTGGTAATGAGAATGGAAGGGAAGCACGTAATTTGGTAAAGTCGTGAAAGAATGGTTTTTGAATAAGCTTTTTGCATGGCAACTTTCGTTATGTTCCAGTGGGTTGGTGTCCACGATAACCTTTCATTATCCAATTCAACTCTTCCATACATTCGTCAACCAAGTAACGCCAAAAAACCAAAAACAATATATATATATATATATATATATATATATATATGTATGTATATGTATATATATATATATATATGTATATGTATTTATACTATATTATAAAGCATTTGACAAAAACTCTTAAAAACCATATTTTATGCATGAAGTATTGTTTATTTATGTATATTACTTAAAATTCAAGATTATAAATAATTGTGTATAAGTACAACTTATTAAAGCTTCATGTTTGAATTCGTGTGACTAACTACAGATAAACATAATCAAATAGAGGATAATCATCTTATTTTAAATATAAAAAATATAAAATATAATTAATATATATAATCATTAAGTTTTAACAAAATACTTAATTATTATTTTTAGAAAAATTATATTATTAAACCAAAAAATATAAAAAATGAAATAGAGAAATCCACAAAAAATGATAAATTTTAAATAGTTAGTTTGGTACTAGTATCAATATTTTCTTTCAAATTTTATGATATATTTTCATATTTAAATTTTATTTAAAAATAAAAACATTATCGTTTTCTCAAAACCATATAAAACTGTATTATTTAATCAACTAAGACAAAAAAACGAAATATTAAAATCATGATGTATCTCGCTGTATTGTGCGAGAACAAAAAGGAACGGTTTGTATTTGATCGCTCATCTATGTATATGTATATATATATATATATATAT